AAAAATCGTAAAAAAATGGGGCTAGTCCGATTGTCGGGTCACTCTCCGTCCAAAAATTGTGTTGAAAATATTAGGTTGGTACATTTACATTTTTAAAAGTCGGGCTGAGCCCCGGAGCGTTTCTGCAGTAAAGTGGTCTGGCTGACAGCAAGTGAGCTCGAAAGCACGTGAGTTCGAGTCTCGCTACTGATGATAATTTTTGGTGTTTGAAAACACTTGCATGTTTATGTAGTAGTATAATTTTGCGGATCAATAGGATATAATGTTAGTAAATATGTGTTGTTTTAGCAACTTTTCGCAGCAAACAAGTGAAATCTACTGGAAGTGAAAGTGAAGAAACGAACGTAACTGTATTTATTTACATGTACATACTCTCAAAATAGAGAGGTAATGTGCAAAGGCCACTGATAATTTTATTATTTCTAGTTCATTTTTTTAGGTGATGTTGTTCATTCAAGTTTGCCCTAATAATGTTCTAATTTTCCATTTTTCTACAGCCTTGCATGCCTAAAAAGAATACAAGCAACAATTATATCACACAATTATTCCATATGAGGAACAATCTTGATAAACCACCCACGTCTTTCCATTAATTTAAAGATTTTCGTTTATGAAATTACGTAAGAAAAGTAAATTCGTCAAAATGCACATTGAGAAGAGTTTCTCTTGATTGGAACAGGATCGGTGATCAACCATTAGTCACGCTTTCTGTAAGCGAGGATTCCCTGCTGTACCGTTTAGAACGAGGAAGACATCAATTCGTCGCAAACGCGAGTTTTACGTGCCGGAATCTCTGATACTACTCTCAGTTTCATCAAGAAACATATAACATTCATTAAAAACGTTGCGAGGTTGAGTCCGAATATTTAACATAATTATTACCTAAGACTGGCAAACTGTTTTGTATACGATATCGAGAAATACGAAATAGTGAAAATATAATTAATTTTATTAAATTGAAATACTTTTCAATGAAAAAGTACTACTTTTATCATTATTTCTAGCATTTTTGGCATTCATTCCAAAAGATAGAGTTTCATCACTTAAAAAATTTTACTTCACTCGCTTGCCCTTGTTTTGTATAAACGATTCACCAGTACAGAAAGTGTAGTTTTACGGTTTTAAACCAATTAATTTTCGCATCTGGTACTAATTTTTGTAAGATTCTCAAGAGTTTTCTTTGAAACGTACGTGTGACATTTACATTTCATGGTACACTCTCCCTGGACTTGAACGCTATTGTTCTGAAGTTGATTGGTATATTTGTCGCGTATGTATCTGTTACTCGTGCGCCGTAAATATTAGAATAATAATCTACATAATATGTGCTAGTTGAATATATAAGGAAATAACGCAGAACATATGAAGAATATTAATGCAGATTTTGACCGCGAAACAACTTTAAAACCATATGGCCGCGATGTTCCTAATGTTGAATACGAGCATTGTCCTAATGTAGAATATTTTGCATTGCCGCTACTGTGTACATTACATTGAATTTTGTAACATATTAATATTGAAATTCTATACCGTAATGTGGGGGTGTGTGGTCCAGAAGCACAAATGATAGAACTCAGAAGTGTAACGTCAGGTCTCATGTCCACGTGCACGTGATCCAAACACGAATTTTCTGTTGGATTAAACCAAACATATATCCTTGGGTAAATAAATGTTCTTGACGTTAATGACTTATCATTTACTAAAAAGAAAAATTATTCCCTAATACACTTTAGAAACGGGGTAAGTCTAATGGGGAAAAATGTAAAATTATAAAATAAAAATTATTAAAAATATCATATTATATAATATTAACCACACGTGTTTATAAATGACTAGTTTAAGTAATTATCTACACTAGTTTTCACATTTGCGCTTATATGTGAAGTTACAGTCATAAATGTAAAAAGGATTCCACATTTGGGCACTTTAATATCGTTTGTACACTGAAGATGTGGTTTTTGTGGAGGTTTGAATGAAGAAGGAAATAAGTTTCGTTTTGGATACAGACAAGGAAACAATAAGGACAAACTGAACTATTTACAGGGAGATGGGAGTTTTAGCTGTTTCACGAATGCATTAAATTGTGCCCTTTGGGACAGCTTTCAACAAAACCAATGTTGGAACTTCACTTTCTTTCATTTACGATGAAGTAAGATCATCTTACGCATCACTAATACAAATTGTTCACGTCAAAGCCTGACTTTAAATAATTTTGTCCCCTTCTCTCCGTTTTCACGTAGAAAGCAATCTTTTCATTGTTAATTGGTACTGTATATAGTACTCGTATTTTTCCAGCGTTCAACAGCAGCAACCATACAACCTATTCTTAGAGAACAAATAACTCACGCAAGAAGCGTTGGTAACGATTAACACCTTAAAATTGATCTATCTGTGTATTCATTGGTGAAATGCTCTTCTGTTATTTCTGCAGTTCATTAGATATGGCGTGCTTGATTACCAGCTCTCTTTAGTAGATGAAAAAAATCAAGGACAGGTAATTCCGTAAAACTTATCTCTGTATATATAAAGAAGATAGGGGCAGAAAAAAGGATATTATTGTGATTATTTTTGTTTTGTGGAAATTTATTTTGTTTCTGTAAAACTCTTTATATTAAGTAGGAGTCTCCAAACTTTCTTCTACTGGGGGACGGATAGGAGATTTCTAAGAGCCTCGAAGGCCAAAAATTAAATTTCATGACAGGATGGAATATATATATATATATATATTTGTTAAAATAAATTTTTAATAAATAACAGCAGCATTGTTAACAATTGACAAATTAATTCTTAAAACAAATATGGGCATAAGAGCAAACAATTCTGAACATACTTGTAAAATTAATACACATTGAAGGCTACAATTTTAAAATTTCAAAATTTAATTGCAAGACACTCCTTCCTAAAGCACAGCAATGATAAGTAATTTTAAAACGTATTTTAACGAGAATAATTAAATTGTTTTTTTATTCGCTTACTAAGTTAATTTGTGGCTCAATATTTGTTTCATCGGTTATTACAATATTTCTCAAACGTTCATCACTTAAGCCACTATGGAATGACTCTCGCGATGTGGTTTGATATGTGGTCTAAAGAATGTGTAACAATAGGAGACCAGATTCTTATATCTTGGAAAAAATGTTACAGCCTAAGTCACGATTAAAATATACTTGAATGTTCATTAGATAGGGGACCACATAGAATAATACCGAGGGTCGAATGTGGCCGGTGGACCGAAGTTTGATGACCATTGATACAAAGGTCTTGGAAGTTTGTACTATAATTGAGGCGACAATCACTACAATGAGAAACGTAAACATTTGTCCTAGGTTTCAACAAATATCGTTCACACGAAAGTGCTATCTTTACTTTCTTTAGAATAAGTAACAATGTAGTAGTTAGGAAAAGTTTATCATCTGATTTTCGAAAGTAATAAAATTATATAACTGCATCCAAGAATAAGTTGTCTTAGAAACCAAAGGTTGTTGGTTCTTAGTTTTTAAATTTACTTCATTGTTGTGATATTTTAAATAATTCTTAGACTGAGATCTTACAAGACGGGAGAATCACAGTATGGTTATCAGAAATCACTGATTTGGAAATCAAGCATTTCGAATTTAAAAAGCAACATGATGAACATACTATATTGCCGTACATTTGGAAGCGAACCTCGAGAGTTATTGGATATGAAACAGACTTCGCATTCCGACACGACCAATATATATTGCGCCAGAAGCAGAAGGTTGCAATAAGGGAATCGTGAGGTTCGATCTATTTGAAAGTGAAACAGATGCCGTAACAAAGGCAACGCAACCAAGGGTGATTTACGAGCTATCTTCCTTTACGCCTGACTTGGTATTTGAGGCGGCGGCGGCGGCGGCCAACCCGATGTCGCGATTTGAGGGCGGCGACCTGTTTGCTCGCTTGCTGCCTCGTCCGACCCGGCGCCCACGACCCTGCTTCGTATTCAGTAACTAGTCGTGCTAACAGCACATACTTTCCGGCTTTATTTGTATCTTTTTTCAATTTTCTAAGACTCAGAGAGTACAACAAAATTAAAACCTGCACGGTTCTCGTAAGTATAATATGCATTTTACAAAAGATATCAAGAAAAAGTTTGGAGTATTATCGAGAAAATCTTGTTTTTGAAAATGCACTCAAAATTATGCGAAACCTCCTCATAATTTGAAAAAATTTAAGAATTTTTTGAAGAAATCTCTAACTTCAGAATTGTAGCTACAGGAATACGCCGAAAAAATCAAAACTTTTGCTATTGTCAAAAATTCTAGAAATTAACGAAAATTGCATTTGCGACATTTTATAAACGTAATTTGATCTATTTCAGGGAAAATTTAAATAGTAATATAACGCTCGTAACACTGGAATTATTTCATACTCGCATAAAACTCGGAAACTATGCCTTTTAGGTCCATACAAACGGATTATTGCTTCCCACAGGAATAAGTTATACTACTCTACAACCCGACCTCGATTTGCTCATCGTTTATTCTACTACCACCTCTACCATTTCCTTCTGCCGTTGAGAAATTACACGCCCGAGGCAGAATGTCACCGTAGAATGAAACAGCTATTTATTTCCCTCTTGATTTGGTGCCGTTACCTCCCTTATGATACCAAAGAGTATGGTTTTGATTGCACCTAGGGCAGGAAGCATGTTGAAATAAACATCATGTAGCTAATTATGACATCCAATCTCAAATTATAGATTGAAAAAGTAAAAATGTGTGAATTTTTGTTTGATTGTTTAAGAAAATATGTGTTTTCTTTCATTTAGCAATGTAATTTGTAATTTTGCAATTTGTATTTTCTTGGGAACATGAAAAGTTATTGTAATTCACTCTTTAAAGGAAGTTCGTTTTGGGAATGTTTTTAAATCGTTGGCACCTACGGGATGCCAGAGTTACCAACCAAATTTCTCTCCCACATCGCCGCCAGGGATTCTCACATGGAATCATTTATATTTACCCGCCACTTGGGTCGCTTTATACCTTAGAAAATTAATACGAAATCGGATTGGGATAGGAATTAATTCTTCAAGCCAAATGTGGCATTGAATTTACCGCCCATAAACAATTCAGGTCGGAATTGTAACCATGTTCTGAGAATTGTACGTCAATATAGTTTACTTCTGATGTACGCGTCAAGAAATGGAAAATGCAGAATCAGGGACGAAGTTGAGTACGTTACGGGAGATGTGTGTGATGCAAGGTTGTATGGGCGTTAATGTATAGAAAAAGTAATCAAATATATAACTTACATTTATTCATTCGTTACAAATCTTAGGCTGAACGCATGTTATAGCTAGTGTCGGCTATACAAGCAGAGTGTTGTGCTATGCCTCTGTGAATGCCGCCCGCGAAGCTACATTTAACGCAAGAAGACAATTCTTTTGTTACCTTCTCCAATATTTTTGTTGACACTCTGAAGTAAATAAGCCGTGCCAATTCACTCAGAGCTTTAGCTAAAAAACACATCCTACGGTCGATTTTGCCATCAGAATTCTGCTCATTGCACGTCCGACAACTCGATATTTCATATTAGGAACGTATTCCACATTAGGATACCTTACCCTAATATTGTCTTATCTCTATCCATTATCGATATCGAATTATCAGTATCTAATCATTATCAGTATCGAATCAGTATCAATTTCGAATGATCATTCCAGTATCAACGTAAAGGAATACTCAATATTCAAAATTATTTTATATTTTAAAATTACAACAAAAATGAAATATAAAGTACAGCGCGTATTAAAGATGCTTCTGGAATATCTCATCACTGTTATATCTCATCATAATACATTTTTCATCCCTTCTTCAACATTCTTCATCATCATCATCATCATATCCACCTCCGTCCAAGGGCGAGAAAAACCGAATAAAGTAACACGTTTTAATATGAAGAGAAGGGAAAACAAAGAAGGAAAGACATATGATGGAAGACAGAGAAGGTATAGAAGGGAGGAGAGAATGAAGAGAAGAGAGAACAGAGATATAAAGGGATGAAAGAAGTTGAATATGGAGAGAACGTTCACAAGAACGGGGTGAGAAAAAAAGAACAAAGAAGGGGGATGATGAGTGAGGAGAGGATAAAGAAAGGGTAATATGGAGATAAGAGAAGAGTGAGAGTGATGGATGCAACAGAAAAGAAGATAAAGAAAATAATAAATAATGGTAGTTACGCCGTAAATGCTATTATTTTTCTTATTTTCTTTCATACGCAAAAATCCCTGGCCACATAAATGTTTAACGTGTGCGGGACGGGGCGAGGCGAGGCGGAGCGGGGCCGAATGAGTCGCGGAGGCAGCGGTGGAGGAATCAAAGTTGGCGGCTCCCCCCCCCCCTCGCGAGGCCCTAAGAGGATTTGCCTAAGCCGGCCGCCCGCCGCGCGCCAAGCCGCCTCTGCCTGCTCGAGCCGCTTCTTCAGGCATAATTCGCTCTCCGGAACTCGCGCGAATAATAAGAGATCTAACTTGCTACCGATCCCGTGTGGGGAGGAGGTTCAGGAGGTGGCCACATGTGGCGTGCCTGCAGGCTGTGGATCTAAGGTTACGACATGTAACGTGCTGTAGTTTTCTCCCGTGGAATCTCATTTTTATTCATAGAACAGTATTTTCACCGGCTTAATGGGAACTGAAATGACCTGAATAAAAACAACAATATGAATTAAAACAATAGAATATTTATGCGTTTTTAATAGCCTGTGTTTGTAGAATGTGTAATATGTTTAGTTTCACTATATATTTATTGCAATTAACATTTAGACTACTGATCATTTTTATTAGTCAGAAAATTCGTGAACTGTTTTGCGCACTGAATAAAAGCGCTGTCAGTTTTTCATTTAATGGTGTATTTTGTTGTATGCAGGCATGAAATATATCTCATAGACTAGCATTTACATTTATACAATAAAGTTTATTCTAGAACATTTTATTTTAATTGGGGAATACAATACTAAGTTTTAGATTTGAGGAATCTGCATGAATACTCAGCAAAGTAAATACTTTATCTATCACCTAATTACTACTCTAGATGATTCAGAAGCGAAATTATAAGGTCCAATTACTCACGCAATACTTAAGTAAAATGTTGAGTTACCGTAAAACACTACATAACGTGCAAGATACATGTCTACTTTCATTTTGAATTTTGAAAAGAACGTCATAATTCACAAAATGTTCTTCCTCTGATTAATAGTTTTCTATTTCGGAAAGCTGGTAATTTATCTACATCCTCAGATTGGCTCTAAACATCTTTAAAATTATATTATTGCTAGTATCTGCTCCTAACCCATTAAGATCATTTTAACTTTCTCAGTTTCATATCAAATTTATACAATAGAATTGTTTTGACATGATCCCTCACCAATTTTATGTAGTCACAATAATTTACTTTAATTTTCCCTAAGTTTGTAGCCTGGTAACCAGGAAACATTCTTAAGCTCTTATTCGGTCCAATTATGTCGAGTTACTCGCAGATCAAACAGATATTAATCCTGAGTATCGTCGTTGTGAGGCGATATCTAATAAATACGTACTAGTTTAATCTGCTTCACTAACCAACTCTGGCCGAGAGAACAATAACTAAAGGCCCAACGATTAATAGAAAGTGCTATAAAGTATCACGGAAGAGGAAGGTGCGGAGATGAACGGAGGGAAATTGGAGAGGTAAATCCAATCGAGAATGCTAATAACTCAGCAAGCGGTAAGGGATCGGTGGCGGCGGTGTTGCAACACGCCGGGCCACACTTAGTCGACCTTCCACCAGTCAAGAAAGTTAGTGGAGACGAAGCAAGTGCTCAAAACCACGGTAATGAGTCTTCATAAAGGGAGAAGAACGTAATAAGATGCAAATGAAATTGAAAGAGAATGCAAAGATAAACGACGGAGAAGTTGACAAAGTGAACATATGTGATTTGGATGGTGTCTTACTGGTTTTAGCCACAAAGTCTACACCTTTACTTTCTTTTTACAGTGATTTTATCCAGTTCGTTTATTGTTCTGACATCCGTCTACAACGCGCGTCTTCCGGGCTCTTTAAAAGTCACGACCCTTAGTATTATAAGTACTAATGAGAGCTATCAATAATGCCACAAACTACTAACAATCTCCATGTATTCTCATGGGGATTCACGTATTCACACCAATACCCTAAAGAGCTGTGGACGATTAGGGTGGAGAAGGAGGTAAACTTGTCCAAACAAATTTGAGAAGGTGGGAGGCGTGGAAGCCACCACTCATTTGTGGAAACAAACTCTGTCGCCTGTTGTTCAAGGGACTACTCCAGCAACCGCGTTGAACTGATTAGAAAGGGTAGCTGACCTGTAGGCGTCTCATTCAAGCAATGGTGACGTGGCGTCCCAACTATTCAGCACTGTTTGTGGAAACTCGTTGGAACACGAATGTGGAACCTCATATTTCGAGGCTTTGGATTTTACCTCTAAAACGTAAAATCGGTCAATATCCTGTCGTTATTTTTAAGCACGTCTGTAACGGCTAGTGACACACTACGAAAGTATCCCTATATATCGTGAGGAAGGGATTAGGATTATATATGTTAGTAAAGCACTGTGACCTTTGGCGATGTATTGTACATTGTTACAACATGTATTCGCTAACACCCTCGCATAGTTGCTGCTGAGACTCCCTGCTGAGACTCTCTAAAGAGTCAAGTTTCAAAGGGTTCAATGGTACTGTCTTTTTTTGCAGTGCATATGTATATGTATCGGTGGCACATGAGTGTTATCCTTGAATATTTTGGGGCACGATCATACACAAAGGATTGATAAGTAATCGGTTCGTCCATGAGATATTTCGAGTCATTAAAACACTACACAAGAACTACGAGACGAGTGAACGAAATTCAGAAAATGTTCGGAATTGCTAGGTCAATATCAGCTAGATTATTTAATAATTTGGAAAAAGTAGCTTTTTCCTTGATGAATTTTTGATGAACGGTCTTTGAAATTTAAAATAACAAAAATGGTTTCCAAAGGCCTTGACGACTGTTAAGTGATTATAAACTACAGGGCAATATTATTATGGAGATCATTTTTGCCTGCCTATTCTAAAAAATGGAGGGAATTTAAGAAATTATTTGAACAATGACAATGATAAAGTTTGTTTGAAAACTACGAAAGTAGTGAACAGAAAAAAACTATTTTTGTGAAGTGCAACTAATTGTGAATGAAATATTTATTATAAAATAAATGAAAGGCATGATGCACTTTCAATCGTTCAAGTAATCATTCCGATATATTTCGTTGTAGTTTGTTGCATATGCAAAATTTTTTAATGTTTTCGCTTTATTTCCCTTGAATTTCAACAAAACACTGAAACCTCTAAGGAGGAAGTGAAAGTGAAAATATTTGCCGCTTCGGTAATTGCTGATTATTAGTATTAGGAACTTGATACGCTTTTTTACTGATTATGATAGTCTCCTCCGTCATCTGAATAACCAGTATCAATTTAAATTTTTTATAATTATGTGATAAAATTACTACAGTGTTTGACTTGACATACTTTCATTCTAATATTACAAACTTCCGGAATATTATGATAGTTATTTTATGAAAATAACTATATAATATGTATAAATAACTATATAATAAATATGTATTAACATTTTATGCAAACGTCATAATAATTAGAAAGTTAATCAAATTATAATAATTTGAGATTATCAAGATTAGAGAATATATTTGTTCCCTATATGAAAATTAATGAATTTTATTTGCTCACTTTTTATATTATACGTAACATAAGATATAATAGAAAATACAAAATAGTGCCTAACACTAAAAAAAATATATGTATGTCTGTATGCCATGCGAAAACGTTTCAACCGATAACAGTATTTTCAGTTTTTTTAATACTAATACATCTTAACATGTAATAGTTCAACATGATGCTTCCATTTTGAACTTCCACCATTACATTATATTTTACGCAATTGGAATCCGCCAGTCGGTTTAATCCGCTATCTACGTATTGCGGAGCAGCGGCGCAGGCTAGTCGGAACGCGGTCAGAGTGGCAAGGGCAGGGCTGGACGAGATGGCGATGGGCAGGGGCAGGGGAGATCGCGAGGGGAATGAGGGCGGCTGCCGAAGCGGAGTGGAGAAGAATAAGGTTTAGCGTGTGCTGGAGGTTTATTTTATTTTAGTTTTTGCTTTTTTCGCAACAATTTATCCATTTTTATACTTAATAAGTGTGATGAGTTCAATAACTGCTATAAATAAACACCGTTATAACGCCGGTTTACTTCAGATAGTAATAGAAAAAAAGAATATTGTAAAATTATAGAATATGGTGAAATATAATTTAAACATGTTAAATATTTGAGTAATAAAAATACGTATACATGTAATAGTTATATATATATATATATATATATATATATATATATATATATATATAATGTGAATAGTGTAGGTAATTCAGTGCTTCCGCGAGTACATTGACTCAGAGATCATGAGAATCAGTCTTACGACAGCAATCTGCGCTGTCACTCGTACTTTGGTCGTCGCCTACAACAGACGTGCTGATAAAGAGTAGTTGCCCCAAAATTGCGTACGGAATGTCTTGACGTTACTGGGTGCCGAACAGTGATGACATTATAAGTCTAATGATGTATGAATGTGTATTCAAGAAGTAAATACACTGATGAGTAGTGGCTAAAGTTGTAGTTAAATTATGAACAAGTCTAAGTGAAAAGTGACAAATTACAAAGTGAATTAATGGTAAAGAACTGTATATATTACTTCAACAAGGAAACATTGATCATTTTGTAGATAGGCAGGTCTTCAAAGACCTTATAACTAAAAGATAATTGTTCATTCAGCGTGCAATAGCTTCTCCAATAATAACCTATATATGATTGCCATCTATCTCTTTCTCCAAATCACACGACATCACCTACATTCAGAACTTGGCAAGTAGGAAGCTCAAGAATATTTTCTACATAACTAAATAAACGGGGAGTCGACGCAAAAATAACAACAAAATAAGAACAGATAATCCATCTTCCCCATCCCTTGCAGCATTCGTATATTATATGAATAGTAAAATGTGTAAACTAATACCATTCATCTAGTGTATTATCAACATAACAGTCGCAAAACAACGATATAACGCATTTGCGATGGATCAACAAGAGACTGAAGGACAATTTGTTCCATCTTTCCTACGATAAGAAGTTACTGTTTAAGCGTTTACAACTTTAGAAATTAAAAGTTGTCTTTTAACCCGTAAAGGATATTTACGAAACAATTCAAAACCCAATCGCTTCGCGGAAACTCCGAATAGCCATATCAACGATAAAATGTCCATAAACACGAAAAAATGAAAGCCAATGATGGTGCAGAGCATCGTGAGCTCATCTCGAAATGGTTGCTGTCCGTGTGTCAAATGACCCTCTTCCTGGCGACGATTTCCCGCTCTCAGCCTCGACACGTCCAAAAAACACGTCTCCGTCTTGCAGAATGTACTACTTTGTGTAGCTTTGGGAATGAGAAGGCATTCAAAACACGAGGAAGGAGATGAATGCTAAATATGATGACTTGAGACTTGTTGCCCCAAGACCAAAGCATGACTCAGTGGAAGAATTATAGATACGATATGTAATGTAATTAGGACACCATATTG